CCCTAATCCCCACCTCTAATTCTGGTACAGAAGGGTCTATTGTCAAAAGTTTCTAAAGTTGTCAAGAAATTCAGGATAATTAACTATCGTACTTAGTAATTGTTTCCGCAAGCTTGAATGATCTTTTATGTCAAGAATGATTCGCTTTTCACCTAGTTTCTTCTCTGCTCTCAACTTGACAATAATAGGGAGGGGGGGGTGGTTGAATTGTCTGGGGTGGGAATGGAATGCTAAGAATCCGTCTGCAGATCATGAGGCCCTGCTTCCCCCTTCAAGGACACGCTGCACAGGTATTTGAATGATCCAGACAGTTCCCATAACAAATGGAGCGTAGGTGATTGGACAATGCAATGGACTAAGGGGAGTAGCCAAAGGAGAAATTCATGCTTAATTATATGGACCTTTGAGCAGGAAATTCAGAGCCGGTTTTGCTTCATTTAAGCCAATGTAGTGTATTCAATAAAAGTATTACTTTTGGGAAGAACAATGTTCCAGGAGTTCCTTTCTTGGATTTGCTAGCAGGACATCTGACATTTTAGAGCAATGATGCAAAAACTGTGAACCTTGTGCAGCCTACCAGCACCTCTTTTTCATTCCCAAAATGGACAGAAGAAAAAAAATGCAGCCCCTTTTTTGTATTTTGGTGGCATTTTATGGGGCAAAATGTTCTTAACTCTTGCATAAGCTCACATTATCCATGCTAATCCTTGAAAAACCCATCCCACTAAGCACAAGTTAGATGTTTTGCTATTTGAGGAATAGGAGGCTCCTCACATGCAACAGCTGATTAGATAGGAAGCTGAGTTTTTCTTCAGCAATGGTAAGGAGACAACCTTGTCATTCAAATCTGAACACAATACCCAGGCTCTAAGGATACAGGTCAACACATCAAACACCTGCTACCACTATTCAGCATTTGGCCTGTGGTGATTGGCTCATTCTGCTTTCAATTACTTCATATAATAATTTATTCTGAACCTTTCAAGCCATTTCTTTGTCTGGGACTACCTTGGAAATTATTTTCTGCTATATATGCAATTCAAATCAATCAAATCAAATCAACCTTTATTGTCAAAGTACAACATGTGTACAATGAGATTGGCTAAGCCTCCCTTCGTGCACCCCTCCGACACAACTCAAAGTGACAACAAACACACAATCTTATTGCACCATGTGAACTTATTGCACAACGCACCAGCCCCACAAGTCTATCATACATGGAGTTATTTCCCATTCAAAAGTCTGACAGCCCATGGGTAGAAACTGTTCTTCAGCCTGTTGGTGCGGCTGGCTATGCTTCTATATCTTCTGGCCGATGGTAGGAGAGTAAAGAAGTGCTGACCAGAGTGTGAGTCGTCCCTGAAGATTTTCCTCACTCTTCTAAGGCAGCAGGCCCTAGCGATGTCATCTAGTGCAGGGCTTGTCAACCGGTGGTACGCGTACCACTGGTGGTACGCGACCACCTGGCTAGTGGTACGCGGCGTCGCCTTCCTCCCCACCACAGCGTCACCTTCTTCCCCCCCCACTCCGCTCCTTCCCACCTCACTAAGGTTCAAAGCATGATCAGCTTCCCAAGGGCGCCACAATCCTCACGAAAGCGGGGGGAGAAGCAAAGGGGGCGAGAGAGCTCGCGGCGGGCTCGAAGGAGCACCTGTCAGTGTCAGAGCCGAGAAAGTCCCCCACAAACCCAGGGGGAGGGGTGGAGAAAAGGAGCCCCCTTTGGGAGGAAACCGCCACCTTCTTCTCCTCGGCTCTGCGCTCTTCTGTTTCTCGGCAGCCGGGCTGCCAAGCCTCTACTGGCTGGATCTCCGCGTTTGTTTTGTTTTTTACATCTCGCCTTCATGGGTTTCTGCCATACCTCCTCGGCATTCCCGGGAACAGGGCGGGTGGAAGAAAGCTTGGCTAGGCTAGGCTAGGCAAAGAAAAGCCACGGAGCCACGAGCTCAGATCGCTGGCAGGCCGGGGAAGGGGATGAAGAAGAGGAAGGGGATTGGGAGAGAGGAAACGCCAAGCTTGTCTTCGCCTCTCCCAAGGACCTCCTGCACCACCTCACAGGAACACCTGGTTTCAGATTTACGCTGCAAAAGTTTTTCTCGCACAGAGGAGAGAGGAAAAACAATTGCGGAACACTTGGGAATCCCTTACAAGGCACCATGTACTTTGGCGCTTATTTCCTAATGCCCTCCCCCCCGTGTTTTCTGCTCCAGCCCGAATTCGACTCCCTTCCACTCTCCTTACGCAGCCGTCTGTCGTCTTAATACAGCCCTAAGTTTGTCTCGCTTTCAACACCCCCTTCATTCAGGCAGACTTCCAGAGTTCGGCTGGCAGGATGCAGATAACCCCTCCCCCCTGTCCTGCCGCCTCCCACGGCACTGCGCCAATCCGCATCCCATGTCTCCGTGTCTCAAGCCTCTGTGGCACAGAACCACGCGCTCCCTGCCGCCGGCGACCATGCAAGCCCTGGTAACTGCCCCAGCCGAAGAAGCAGGTGGCTGGGAGGCCACCGCGGCGCCAACCTCCTGCACCCGTCAGCTGGCAACCCCCGGACCTGTGCCCGTCACCTGGAACGTCAGGCAACGCTTTGGCTGGTGAGGAGGGTGAAGGGGAGGCTGCCACAGCGCTGAACTCCTGCGCCCGTCAGCTGGCGACCCCCTGAACTTGCGCTTGTCAGCTGGGAGGTCTGGCGATGGAGCTGGCTGGCGTGGAGGGCGATGGGGAGGCGGCGGCTCAGCAGGCGGGATGCTGCCTGCCCACGAATGTCGGGCCCACCCGCCCCATCTGTAAAAGAAAAAGTCTTCTGCCCAAGCATAACTTTTAAGGATTTTAAGGATCTTTGAGAGGGAGAGAAAGAGAAATAGAGAGAGGGAGAGAGAGAAAGAAAGAGAGAGGGAGAGAGAGAAAGAGGAGAGGGAGAAAGAGGGAGAGAAAGAGAGGGAGACAGAGGGAGAGGGAGAGAGAAAGAGACAGAGGGAGAGGGAGAGAGAAAGAGAAGGAGGGAGAAAGAGGGAGAGAGAAAGGGAGACGGAGAGAGAGAAAGAAAGGGAGACAGAGGGAGAGAAAGAGGGAGAAAGAGATGGAGGGAGAAAGAAAGGGAGAGAGGGAAAGAGAAAGGGAGAGAGAGAGAGAAAGAGAGAGGGAGAGAGAAAGAAAGAGGGAGAGAGATTAAATTAGTAACATGGTTGTTAAGTGAATCTGGTTTCCCCACTAACTTTGCTTGTCACAAGGTTGCAAAAGGTGATCACATGATCCTGGAACAATGTGACCATCATAAATAAGAATCGGTTGCCAAGCATCCGAATGTAAATCACATGACCCTGGAGATGCTGCAATGGTCATAAGTGTGAAAAATAGTCATAAGTCACTTTTTCCAGTGCCGTTGTAACTTTGAACAGTCACTAAGCAAACTGTTGTAAGTTGAGGACTACCTGTACTTTATCACTTTTTTCCATTTTTTTTTGATCATCAAGCTTTTGACACCTTGCTGGGTGACTGGTGGTACTCGAATGTTGCCATATTCTAAAAGTGGTACAATCGGTGAAAAGATTGAAAAGCCCTGATCTAGTGGTGTCAGGGGACAGCCCATGATATTTTGTGCTGTGCTCACCACCCTCTGTAATGTCTTTCTATCTGCGGCTGTCAAGCCAGCATACCACACCATAATGTAATGTGAGAGGACGCTTTCTATAGTAGACTGATAAAAGAAGATCATCAGTCGTTATTCCACTTTGTTCTTTCGCAAAACCCTAAGGAAGTAGAGTCTCTGTTGGGCCTTTCTGGCCACCTGGGTTGTCTTGATTTTCCAGGTGAGATCTTCACTGAGGTAGACTCCCAGGAATTTAAAGAAGGAAACTCTCTCCACGCACACACACACCCAATGTAAAGTGGGGCGGGTTCCTCTCTTTTCTTCCAGAAGTCTAACACTATCTCCTTTGTCTTGCCGATGTTCAGGTGCAAATTGTTTTCTAGACACCATGAGGATAGTTTTTGTACCTCCCCCCGTACGCTGTTTCGTCTCCACCTGTAATAAGACCCAATACGGTGGTATCATCTGCAAACTTAATGATCGCAGTGGATGGGTCAAACGATACACAATCATGTGTGTACAGTGAATACAGGTAGGGACTGAGCACTACAGCCCTGTGGCGAGCCAGTGCAAAGCTTTAGGGAGGTTGATGTGACAGACCCGACTCTCACTGTTTGTGGCCAGTCCCTCAGAAAGTCTTTGATCCAGTCACAGATGGAGGGGGGGAAATCCAAGTCAGTCAGCTTTTCAATAAGGATGCTCAGCAGAATAGTATTGAAAGCCAAGCTATAGTCAATTAAAAGCATCCTGACATAGTTTCTGCGTTTCTCCAGATGGCTCGCTACAGAATGTAAGGCAGTAGCTATGGCGTCATCTGTCGACCTATTCCCCCTGTAGGCAAACTGATGTTTGTCAAAGTCCGATGGGAGGCATGTCCTAAGGTGTTGGAGGACCAGTCTTTCAAAGCATTTCATCACTACAAACGTTAATGCGATAGGTCTGTAGTCGTTTAAGCAATTAATTGCTGTTTTCTTCGGGACTGGGACAATAGTGGCTGCTTTCAAGCATGATGGAACACAGGCTGTTTGCAGGGAGATGTTAAATATCTTTGTCAATTCAGAAATGTAAGAATTAATGAAATAAACATATTGTAATATTTTCTCTAGGGCAGAGATCCCCAACCTTTTAGGCACCAGGGACTGGTTCTGTGGAGAGAAGTTTTATTACGGACCTGAGAGTGGTGGTTTTGTGTGCTGCCTGCATCCCACGGATGGGGCTTTGGTTGTTTGTGTGGACCAGTTGCTGGCATGCTGCGGCCCGGTACCAGTCCACAGACCGGGGGTTGGGGACTCCTGCTCTAGGGAGAATAGGCAGAACAATAAATATAAAAACCTGCTCATTCCTTAGTTTTAAATTTTCATTATGTGAGCATTTATAGAAAATCTGGCCCTTAAAACTTCCAGAGCCTTATCAAGGCCCATTTATTGCCCTCTCTGTGTTTGGGAGGTTTGACCTCACCCTCACGAGTGACAATAAGGAATCCACAGCCATGTTTACTGCAGACCCTGAAAGTATAAAACTGCTGTAAACAAAACCAAGATTCTTCTCTTGAAAAATTCTTGAATGACAAAGAATCAGAAGATCTTACCCAGAGAGTAAAAATATAGGACTGACTTGGCCTTACCTATTTTTTCTGAAGCGAATTGTGAAGACGATGAGGAAAAAACTGAGCAGAACTCCACTGGTGTTAAAGGCCCAGACAATCGCCAAGAGGGCCACTGAAAAAGAAGAGGTGTTCTTACAGCGGCTTTCTGGAAATGGCTGAAGAAAAAGTAAGGTGAAAGGAGTAAGAACTCTTTGGAAATTTCTCTCCCAAAATTACTGTGAATCCACTGTAATATTTTATATCTCATATAAGCCATTTCTGGGTAAAAGAAAAAAATATACTTCAGTGTGGGAAAACCTATGTTTTCTACTTTTAAAGGTTACCTGTTTTATAACTGAGTCAACAATTTATATTATTTCTATAATACTGGATATGTTTCACACAACTCTTGCATTTGTTTACAATGTAGACTAAACATGATGTTACACCACAATTAAGCCAATCCCTAAACTGACCTGGTCAAAAACAGAGGCAACATGATTCAAGTGACTTACAAAACAAAGCATGTTTTGAAATTTTTAGGACTTGATTATATGGAAAAAATATTGCATATTAATTCTTTATTTCATTTCCCTGCAGTTTGATGAAAGGCTGATATAAAGAGTCCACATTGTCCATGGAGAAATGAATATCTCTAAATATAAAAAATTAAAGAAATATAAAAGTATAAAATTTTGGTGGAATTAAAAAAAATAAAAATAGGAATTTACTACTACCACCTACCTAAGCAATGGACAATATGTTTCTGAATCAATTTCTCAAATTCTCAAGAAGGCAACGTGTAATGCTAACAGAAGATTTCAGCTGCACCAGTTACTTTATCTAGAAGCAGGAGGTCCAACACATTTTGGACCTCTCTTGCAGGGAGATTACAATGAACAGATGCTCCAAAAGCTCCATATGTGGCCCAGTGCTGCTTAACAACTTTATCAACAAGAGAAAACTGTGTCACATTTCATGCTGCACTTTTCTTCTGGATGTTCTTACATTTTACATCGTATGTCTATACAGTATACACTGACTCAACAGTTAAGATTTTTTAACTTGTTTGAATGATGGTATATAATTCCCATTCTATTTTGTCAGAAATGGCTTGTGCCCAAACAGGAAAAATCAAGAGAAAACCATCAGTATTATAACTCCAGAGAGGGCAGCCAATACAGCTGATATTTTCCTGTTATTTTTAAATTATATAGCTTAAGAGCCCGCAAGAACATTTTATTGTTCTGAGTACTGCAAATTATTTGCGCGCACGCACGCACGCACACACACACAATTTGAATGAGCCAATTACACAGTTTGTGTGTGTTTGGCTTTATAGTTCATTATTCATAGATACTTACAATTGTTGAAGTACAGAGATCCTTCAGAATCAGTTGTTGTCGTTCTTGGCTCTCATAGTCAAAATTATTCTCATATAACTTGGAATAATTGAACCCCATCTCCACAGCACATTCTAAGCCTTGATTCAACCACATGATCTGAGCAGAGCTTAGTTAGGCCTGGTATAGGAAGCAAGGTTGATCTCAAAAACTGAGACTCAGATATATGCAGCAACAGCTGAGAATTACTTGACAGAAATTTCTCTACCCTTAAAAGTCCTGAGTTGACTGATAGGAATCATGAGCAAAATTATTAGACTGTAATAATTTAACTCACATGGCCTCTTGTTTAGTATCTATCTATCTATCTATCTATCTATCTATCTATCTATCTATCTATCTATCTATCTATCTATCTATCTCATAAATTATAACGTATGCATATGAAAAGAATGAAAATAGCTGAAGGAAGTCTTTGTTCACCCACATGGCACAGCTATAACCAAAATACCAGCTATTGTAAGCATTTATTTAAAAAATGCTGATTTTTGCAAAAGTGTGAAAAATGAACTACAAAAATCAGGTATTTTGAAACTGAACTGTATTTATTTGCTGTACTGTCAAATGACATAAAATAAAAATGATGCCTGAGTAATGCCAGTCAGGAATCCAGCCTGGTCTAGGAATCCAGATTAAATGTGACAGAAATTGTGCACATGCTTAAACCAATACAATTGTCCTTAATCTTGACTGTTATTAATGAATAAGCAAGCTAGAAATTGTGTAAACATATGTGTAAAAATTATTCGGCCTAGCACAAGCATGAGAGAGAAAAAAGAAAAAGCTGGTTTTACCTTCTGTAGCTGTACTCACTCTCCCCGGGTTCAAGTTAAGTTTTGGTCACAGCAGCCCTTGTCGGACATGCGAGGCTCCCCATGTAACCCTTAACTCTGCTACCTGCGGCAAGCAATTGTCGTGCAATTGAGGCGAAGGCAGGAGAGCTCAGGTGGAGGGCCGTGTTCGGGCAAGCCCACTCCTTCTCCCTCTCCTCACCCTGCAGTCACCGAAAGGGTCTCTGGGCAGGGGCGTGTAACAAAACTGGAGAACTGCTCCTATTGGTCCCTACAACTGTATACCTGACCTTGAGAATGTTGTTTATGAGTGTAGATGTTATCAGAAAGAATCTTTTTTTTTCTGCTGTAATTTGCCCTGACTTGATATTATGCGAGAATGGAGGGGGGGGAGGATATTTAGACAAAGTATTTTAACTTATATCAGTTAGCAGAAAGAACAAAAGAGAGTCCAGCCATGACAACGAACGTACAATGAAGAACTGTAACCTTGGGGGAGCCTTTGTTGCCAATTAATCCATATTTGGAGGTTTGAAGGAACACGGTCTCTGCAACATTGCAAAACTCAGGAAAGACGGGTCTCCGCCATCGGTTAAGTGTTTCTTCTATTCTCCACCCCGTCCGATTTCATTTTTTTTAGCTCGCTTGCCTGAAATTTGCAACGACTTCGTGGAACCTCCCTCCGCCTTATAGCAGAATCGCCTCTTTGCATTAACTTTGTCTTCTAGCAATCTGGCTCCTCTTGATTTGCGTTTGTCTGATATAGTATTGGATCGATAAAAAGGGGAAAGAGCACGGACACCTCTTACTCGTCTTCTTTTTAAATGAAAAAATCATGCTGACGCGGGGGGGGGGGCAAGATTGGGCTGAGTCTATTGTTCTCACCCTCGCGATCTGACCAAGCCAGGCAAGCGGTCCCCTCCTGCCGCTATGCTGCTTCTCGCCGGTTCTTCTCAAGGTGGCTGGCCCGGGACTGGAAGACAGGTGCTCCGCACTCCCTGCTGTACACCTCATTCCTTCTGCGCGAAGCTGAGTGCGCGCTTCGGCGAATCCGATTCGGCGACGATATTGCGGGCAGAAGCATCAACTGAACAAGAGGGGCTTGGTTCAAGCTGCTCGGGAGCGGCTGGTCGCTTCTTCAGAGGAAAACAAAGGCTTCAAAAGGGGGCTGGTGGAGTCAAGCTGGAACATCAAGCCTGAAGCTGGGTTGCCATTCGAAGAGAAACGAGCAGCTTCAGTAATGAATGGAAGTTTCTTAGATATACATGACCTAGAATCGCGTTTGCCTCTCGTGTATTTTTATGACTAATGGCTGCCCCGTTCAGACGCCACAAGACTTCTCTCCAAATAAATGATTGGTTTTGTACATATGTTTTCCCATGAGACGGAATGGAATTCGGGATTAATTAAATCATGCCTTGCGCACAGTCACCCATGCTCTTGTCACCTCCCGCCTGGACTACTGTAATGCTCTCTACATGGGGCTTCCCTTGAGGAGCACTCGGAGGCTCCAGTTAGTCCAGAATGCGGCCGCGCGGGCGGTGATGGGAGCGACCCGTCGCTCCCATGTAACGCCGCTGCTGCGCGAGCTGCACTGGCTGCCTGTGGCCTTCCGAGTGCGCTTCAAGGTGTTGATTATCATCTTTAAAGCGCACCATGGCATTGGACCTGGTTACCTCCGAGACCACCTTCTGCCACAGATTACCTCCCACCGGCCGATACGCTCCCACAGAGAGGCCCTCCTCAGGGTGCCGTCAACCAGACAGTGTCGGCTGGC